AAGGAAGGAAGGAAGGAAGGAAGGAAGGAAGGAAGGAAGGAAGGAAGGAAGGAAGGGACCAATGTGATAGGGAATAATGAACACCCAGGATTTAAGTCTAAGGTGTATTTAAAAAATACTCCTAGTTTGAAAAAGATCCTGTGTTTTGTAGGTTCATAAATGTGTGTTACAGTGTAACTTTTTTTTTCTTTTTTGTAGCTAGCATATGCATTGATTTATTTGCATTTGAGACAATGTTTAAGAATTTCTGCCCAGTGAACATTTCAGTAAGGAATGATTGGTCAGTGATTACCTCATTAAGCCTCTTCTATACATAACCAGATGGAACAAACTAAACATAACCTTCCAGCTGCTTCCATCATTCCAGATGTGCACCTCCCCTTGTCAGAAACACAGCCCTGCTCTACTGATCAAGTCAAGGAAACAGAAGCTGAGTTTCTCCCATTCTCTTGACCATGGGAATTAAAAGCTACAAGGAGAAGCCAACCTCTACACAAAGATCTGTCTGTTAGAACCAAAACCAAAGAACAAAGAACCTCTTCCTGGGCTGTGGGGCACTTTTGAGGTGGCTTCTGGTACTCTGGTCTTAAGGACAACCTTTCATGATGGCATAAGAGTTCTGATGAGTTACAAAACAGTCTTGCAGCCACCTCTAGTGGGATGCAGAAACTTAGTGGAATCAGACACAGATTTGTAAGAGAAAGGCAAAGGGAAGAAAGACTAGAACCGGCCTGTAATCTCAGGTAGACAGTGCAGTAAGCAATTGCTCATCCAGATTCAGATTCAAAGTGTGAAACAAGGGCCCAAAGAGACAGCTCTGTGGATCAGGGCACACTCAGCTTTTCCAAAGGATCTGGGTTTAGTTTCCAGCCCCCACACAAGGCAGTTTATAACCACTTGTACATCCAGGAACAAGGGATCCAACACTCTCTTCTGGCCTACACTTAGGTCTACATACTCCACACAAACATGTACGTACATACACATATATACACACACACTTTTTTTTAATATCACACATGTTTAGGGTGACTATGCTATTAGCTGGAATGCTCCCGATAAGATCTCAATCCCCCTGGTGCTTGCAAACACACTGGGCTGCAAAACCTTTGGTCCAAATGAAACAGCATTGTGAGCCATCTAGTTCCTCATTCAACAAAGGAGGATTGATGTGGGGTAGATATGCGAGGCCAGGGAAGACATGCTATCCCTTGCTTGCTCTCCTGCCTTCCCACACTCAACACTCCTTTTAGTTATTTAACATTTGAGAAGAAAGACCACGCTTGGTTTCCGTTTCTTGGTGACCTAGTCGAAAGTCCCCGTCCACAGCCTGTGTGGCTGTAGGCAATGTTCTTGCTGGCCTGCCTTGGAATCTGCTCTCTTGCTTCACAGCGCCATTGCCATCTGCTGGCAGTTTACTTGGTGGAAGCTTTGGTTTCCTAATTTATACATTACTTGCCAGCTGTCCAATCTTAGAATGATTTCCATGCTCAGAAGGGGGAAAGGGAGGCTTAGGCAAAATGACAAGCCATTTATTGTCCTGATAAATGACCAAATTAGCATATCTGTGCAATTCAAGTGAAATAAATTCTACCTAGAACTGGATGCAAATTGAACAGATCTGTTACTGTGTGGCAGGCAGAGAAGAAAAAAAAGACAAAAAAACAAAGCAAAAACAAATCCCTCCTGGTCCCATTTACATAATCACCAGGCATTTTTCCTCCTTCAGTAGGAATGCATTTTTCTGTCCACTTCCTTGTATGTAGAAATCTTCCATAATAAGCATTTGTGAAAACTGTCACTGATCATCTGGGGGAAGCCAGCTGCAGTAGCAGACAGACCTTAGCTTGTATGTATCTCAGCCCTATAGGAAGGCTTGGGGCCACACGTGGCTAAAACTTTTGAGGCAGGTGAGCATAGAGAATAGTTTAACGACCTGGAGCACCGCTTGGTCTGGGCTATGAACACACTCCTCTCCCAGTAATGCACTTGGCAAGTCTGAGACCCTTACCTGTGCATACTACACACATGCACATACACACACACACACACACACACACACACACACACACACACACACACACGCTCCTCCCCAGACAATGTGGCAGCAATCTGTTGGTAATCCAGGACCCTGCCTATACTGAGCTGAATGCACACCCATCTCTGAACAGTAGAATAAGTTCTTCCTTCCCTTGATGGTTAAACACAGATAAACCCTTTCAGTCATGCTCCCTTATGTCTGGGTAAGACAATCTGGCCTAGATTGGCTCTGGGTGTACATGCAACAAGACAAACTGTCCTCAAATGAACTTCTAGAGAGACTCTCCCATTGTCTTCTTATGACTATGCAAAATTGAGAATGCATATGATTAAAGTAAGATGCATAATAAGATGGAAAGGGGCATGTGTAGTAACACACACCAAACAAACACCTTATATAACTTAAACCTGTCAATCAAAATAGAGAACTACTCAAACTATGGCCATAGTAAGGAAACTCCTTTTCCTCCTGTGCCCTAAAAACAAAGCCCCAAATACTAATCAGGCCCCTTGAGCTCCCTCATCCATGTGGCCTGCTGTCATTCTCAATGGCAGAGTTCTTTCTGATCTGTACAAGCATTCACTTTGGAATAAGTTTCCTTGCTACTTTAACACTCTGTGTGAGCTTTTCTTTCCATTCCTTGAGTAGGAATTCAAGAGCTTAGAAACACCCAGGCCAGCCCTGACCACTAATAAGACCTTCAGAACAAGTGTCATAATCCAGGGTGATTGCTAGAGAGTATAGAATTTACAGAACATAAGTGTTATCCTATATAGTAATCCATGAAAAAAAATCTATTTATAACAATGAAAATGACTTGCTCTAAAGCCATTAGTACCCAAAGCCTTTCTGTTTGGAATACATAACATGTGAAAGCAATGAAACCCAATTAGAAACAGTTTGTGGAATTATATACTGGTGAGTCTGGCACTTGGGGACTTCCAGTCAAGTGTACCCGACTCATAGCCTGTGGACTCCATGTGACTGAAGATAGCCATGAATGTGGCCCAACAGAAAAGCCACAAACTCACTTAAAACATTAAAGATGTTTCTGAAATTCTGTTGCTAACAACTGCATGGTGGTTCTTGAGCATAAACTTTAAGGATGATAACGTTGTGTCAATGTCAAAGGTGAGACACACCTATTGCTACTTGAATGTCCAGTATTCCCCCATGGATTCATGTGGTTGAACAATAGTACTGGTCTCAGCTGCTGATGCTCTGTGGGAAGACTGTGGAACCTTTTGGAGGTGGAGGAATTGAGCCACTGAAGGGTGGGCCTTGAGGCTGTAGAGCCCAAGTTCAGTTCCTGCCTCCTGACTTTAGACACAACATGATCAGCCAGCTTCCCCATGTCTTCCTCGCCTGCCTGCTCTGCCATGAGGGACTGAATCATTCTGGAACTTTAAGTCACTCCCCTTAGTGTAGCTTTTGCCAGGCTATTTTTATCACAGCAATGGAAAATGAATTAAGACAATACCTACATGTGACATACAGTAAAACAGAGTTCAAATTTCTTCATCTCTAGAGCTATCCACGTGCCATGACATCTGCCTTTCATCAGTTAGGGGGCCCCAGTTTGGGGACTGGGTGAAAGCAATGTGAGCTGGAGACTGGAGTCCACCATGATCATGGCTGACTAACCTCCAGCAAGTGGAAACAAGACACAATGACATCAAGAACCAAGCATGAAATGTGGGATCTGCAGATGTCAGCCGAAAGCTGGGGGCTGATGGATATGATCACCATGTCTTTGTCATGACATTGTTAGACAAACTATAGTCTGACATGTGATTTCTATGGCTTCTCTGAAGGTACAAAATAAATTATGTCACACTGATACAGGATCTCTAATGGCAGGATATAAGATACTGCTTGGTTAGAGCTATCAATTGAGAATGCAATATTCTAAGAGAAACAAGTTTATTTTTTTTTTTTTTTTTTTTTTTTTA